TTGTGGGAAAATTCTACTACCAGTCCTTCATCACCTTAGACGAAATAGGGTGAATACATCTCATTAAATCATTTTACATCTATATTTTTTGGTTTTTAGTTATAAGTGTAGCATATAGGATAGTTGGATAAAGTTGTTTACTTAGTCTGAATTTGAGAGTTTTGCTGGAATGAGTTGAAACTCTGATGATGTCCGTCATATGACGGACGAAAGATCAGATCCTTTTCACTTGAAATGAGGGAGGATGCATTGTGAACTGCGTCAACATGAACGTCGTATCAAAGCCTAACGGCTGTAGTACAACTAGAACCAACCGCCGTCTTTTAGTGAGATCAATCTTCGAATCTCTTCATCATGTACTTTTACACGAATTGAAAGCCCTTCGCACAAAAATATATCAAACAAGGTCCATCCGACATCATCAATGTTATCTTCGAAATCCGTTTTTTATTCGTATCTTTATTATTACGCTTGGTTGATTTTGCACTTTCAAATTTAGCCAATTCAGCCATACAATACATTATTTTATTGTAAATATTTTTTATTTAGTTACCGTTACTAGTCCATTTATTTTGACGAATTTCGATTTGCCTTACGAAATCATTTATTATTACTTTTTTTCGTCTCCGCTCATAGCTTATATGATGAAAAATCCACGTCCCTGTGCAGATTCCGAGAGCAAATTCGGATTCCACTGCATTGAGGTCGGCGAGGGCTACTATTGTGCAGACAAATTGAGCGATCCGATGAGTGAGCGGTTTGCCGGACCAAAGGACGGCATCGTCAGCTTCGACAACTTCCTGTACTCCATGCTGACGGTGTTTGTGTGCATCACCATGGAGGGCTGGACAACCACCGGCTACTGGGTTAGCAGTTTGTCCATTAACAGTGAAGTTGTAGTTGTCCTTCTGCCTCGGCTAAGGTTTGGGCTGCCCCAGCGGCTGCCCTTAGAGGATGTCACGTCAGCAGGCAGACACTATTTCTTAGTACAGTGGTTCCAAAACTTTTCCTAGTCGCGGCGCCCTTATTTAATTAAAATTTTTCCATGGCGCCCCACCCTAAGTATGACCATTCGTAAGTAAGATATAAAAATACATAAAACTCGTGTATCTTCATTAATTTTTTTGCCTTAATAACATCACATTAATAGTTAATAATTAATGTGATAGATGAGTTTGCAAATCACTACACATTTTCTCAAATTGTGGACTTAAACTGGACACGGCCAGCCTCATTTCCTTTACCACGTTGATTTTTGTTCTATACTTGCTTTTTAT